CTCTGCGATTGAGCAGTTTGCCAACGAGATTCTTCTCGCCTCACGGTATACTTCAATGAATAGTTTCAGTTGGACGATCGTGGAGACCAAGTGTCATGTCTGTATAGCATGTCAAGCCCGTACATTGTCGCATCCATTGGTGCGAGCTGGCGCGTTCCGTCGGAGCTGCAAATGGTGCTCGAGTGGATGGACCGAGGCGACCTTCGGGGGGTCCTTCAAGCCACGGCGCCCCCGACGCCCGACGGTGACGCTCGCGGCTTTTCGTGGCACGAGAAGATTGCGTGCATGTTGAGCATGGCGGAAGGCCTCGCGTACTTGCACTCACTCGATATTATCCATCGCGACTTCAAGTCCCGCAATGTGCTCTTGGACTCGAAGAAGGTGCACTGTGATATTTCGGACGGATTTTAGAGTTCTCGCATCATTTTAGGGCACGAAAGTCACTGATTTTGGCACGTCGCGTGAAACCACGACCGACACGATGACGTTTGGTGTCGGCACGTACCGCTGGATGGTTGTCCTTTTTGAAGACGACGTGAAAATGAAAACTGACAAAGACACTTTGTAGGCGCCCGAGATTCTTCTCGACATTCAGTACTCGACGGCTGCCGATATCTACTCGTTTGGCGTCGTGCTCTCGGAGCTAAGCACGCACTCAATTCCGTACTCGGACCTTCGCAACACGAGCGGTACGACACAGTCCTCGTACTGGACGCTGGGACGATACTTGATGCGTAGGTCACCCGCTCGTCGATACCGCAATCATGGGGCGCGTCATGACGGGGTCGATCCGACCGTCGTTTGGAACGCAACTGCCGCTGTGGGTGCGCCACGTCGCCGAGGCCTGCATTGCGTGGTCGCCCGAGGCTCGCCCGACAGCGCTCGAAGTCGCGCATACGATTCGGCAGGAGATTCGCGCCACACTTTAAATGCAGCGATAATTCTAGTCAATGCACAAGGATCCAGGAATGTTTAGTCCTTATACACTGTACTAGTAGTCCCATTATACACATCGGCTTGGTGTCGTCATGGTTGAGGACGTCGTGATGCGCCCAGCTAATTATTTTGTCGCGCAGAGCAATTTGCGAGCCTTGTTGCGCAGAGGCAGCAGCTCTTGTCGCAAGCAAGCGCGTGACTGGGAAGGACACATGACGTAGGGCAGCTACAATAAAAAGGCGGATGGCAACAAAGATCGTTTCTTGTGTTGGCGCCTGATCGGTGATTGGCCACTTTGAGCGTACGTGTGATTGGCTGCAGTCAAGTTACACGGCGTCGATTGGCTGTAAATTCGGAGGAGATTCTAGCCAATCCTGTGCTCGACCGCCAAAGGGGATGAGCTCGCTGCAAGGCTCACTTGCTGCATGGAAAGGCATGTGCCAGGGTGCTCAACACCTTGGATTCCCTCTCCTCACTCTTTGGAGTATACTGTGCACGGTGAAAAGTCCAACGTCGAATCCCCACTTTGCGGAAATAGCGCCGACATCCGGACGCTTATCCGGTCAATTCCGCAATTTGCCAAGACAACATGGTGAGCGTCGCCGCCCAAGTCCTCCGCACGCCACGTATGCTCGCACGCATCTGCGTCTACCAAGCCGGTGTGGCGAACATGGCGCTCGGCAACCCACTGCACTGCCGCGCCATCGCGCTCGGCAGCTACACGGACGAGCCGCCTCGCCCCGACGACGCCACGAACATGCACTCCTGGATCACGGTCCATGGCGTCGATGAGCTCGCTTCGCTCTGCGTGCCCCATCTCTTTGCACACGCGATTGCATGCGGCGATGTCATTGTGCTTCAGTGGCTAATCGACCGAGAGTTGGTCATGTGGACCAAGGAGCTGCTCGTGCTGGACGCTTATGGCTGCAAGGCGTGCCCTTATGCAGTCAAGGATCTCGGCCCTGCAATGAAGATGCGCAGTCGCCAGATCGTCTATCGGGCAGCAGCCAAGGGCCAACTCGAGTTGCTGGGCATTCTTATTGGTTTGGGCTTGGCTACCAACGACATTTGGGCGGCAGTGTGCGCTGGTGGCCGCGTTGACGTCGCCGAGTACGTCATCGCGCAAGAACTTGGTGCATGGGACGACACTTACATCAACGTCGCCGCCAAGAACGGTCATTTTGAGCTGCTGCAGTACCTCCTCCGTCTCGGCTACAGCGGCGTCAACCGGGAGACGCTCAGATTGGCCATCGCCTTCGACCATCTAGCGACTGTTCAAGACCTCCTCGCACGTCATCCCTCACCAAAGGTGCTGCTGAAGCATGCGCTTATTGACGCGGTCGAGTGTGGCCGATTCAGCATTCTTCGCTGGCTGTGCACGCAGCCGGAAGCTTGGGCGTTCTTGGGCAGCGCGGATGCGACGGCCGTGTACTGCTGCGCGTCCGACGCCATCGTTCAGTGCATCCGTGACGCGATGGCCCAGTACGCTTACGAGCAGTGCATCAACTCTGTGCTCCTCTCCGCCAACCTCTTGAAGATCATCGTCGCGTATCAAGCCGGAGTCGACGAGAGTACCGTCGCGTTGCACGCGCTCTGCGACGACCTTGCTCTCTACCGCAACTACGACCGGCACGTGCCCACGGCCAGTGCATTCGCAGTGTACCACGAGGCGTTTGGTCGCTGGCTGGCGCGCCACGACCTCGGGCAGCTCCACCGCTTGTGCCAACCCCATCTCTTTGCCTACGCGATGGCACTTGGGGAGAAGGATCTTCTTGCCGCGCTCGGCCTCCGGCTTCTCGTGCCGACGCGACGTGTGGAGCTCAACGGTCGTGGTCGCCGCCTCTGCGCATGTGCCCAGACCGTGCTGGGGCTCCATGCCACGGTCACGTATTGTGGCGTCGTCGAGCACGCGGCCGAGTTTGGCCACGTCGACGTTCTCAGCATGTACCACGCGGCTGGCTTTGGCATGGCCGACGTCTGGAGCCGCGCGAGCTACTTTGGCCATATGAACATTGCGCAGTTCGCCCACGATAACCAAATTCCAGGGTGGCAGCCGCACTTTGTGTACAACGCAGCGAACGCGGGCCACCTCGATGTGGTTCGGTTTGTGCACGAGCACAACTACGACGGCTTCAACGACGACACGGTCCGCGGCGCCGTGCACAGTGGCCAGACCGACCTCGTTTCGTTCTTCTTGACGCACCGCGAAGGCGCGATGGCCAAGTCCTTGAAGGCGGCGGCCGAGACAGACAATGTCGACATGCTTCGGTGGCTCGTCGAGCAGCCTGGCGCGGCGGCGCACTTGGATACAACCGCAGTGCACGCGTACACGACGCGGAGCTATCGGTGCGCGGCGCTGCTGGCACACGACCATCGAACGTCCCCGACGTTGATTGCGCTCTACGAACGCAGCCTCAAGCGCAAGGCGTCCGAGATATCGGAGGGCTATTAGTGTTGCTACGGCTGCGTTCGTATAAACAGCGTTGTATTGTTTCGGATTGCCTCGATTCTTCCTCGGTTCGCTACGTGAATCGGCACGATGTAGCGATGGGTTTGCTCACGCGTTGGCTTGACCCAGTGCATCGCACGTTTGGCCCTTGCACGACCTAGCATCACGGCGCTTGTCATGGCTGCTGCCATCCTGTCCAACAATTTAGTACAAGGCAAGCGCAGTCACACTCTTATTGATATATTTGGCCGCCGACCACATAAAACACCAACTTTGTGTGCTTTTTACGCCTCGTCTTCCGTTGACTGCTTGAGCGTTGTTGGTGTGACAGCTGTCTTGGCAGCGTGGACAAACTACCCATCAACACTGCACAACAAACGCATGTAAAGTACTAAGTATTGTCATGAAGGATGTATTGTCATGAAGGAAGGGCTGGTGAAGCGAGAAGCCTCGTGACCAAGCGGTTGCACGAGTCGCTACGCTCGGACGGAGCAGTTTTCTGACCTGTCATGCATAGCTCGCGGGGGTGATCGGGCTGCACGACGGGGTCCACGAAACCGAGACCGCTGTCAAGATGTTTGTTACGTGGATTGTCGGTTCCGCGCAGAGCTTCGTGAATTGTGCTTTGTCGCGAGATCACGCTGGTAGTCGTTCCTGCGCCCTTTGGCTGCAAGGCGTGTCCGCGTGCGGTGGAGGACCTCGGTCCTGCAATGAAGATGTGCAGTTCCAACAACGTTGTCCGTGCCGCAACCAAGGGCCATGTCGACGTCTTGGTTGTGGCACGGACACTGTTGTTGGAACTGCGCATCTTCATTGCTGGACCGAGGTTCTTCTCTACGGAGGGCGGTCACTTGAACGTTGCTCAGTTCGTCGTGGCGCATCGTCTCGGTGGGTGGGACGACGTGTACGTCAACGTCGCCGCCAAGAGCGGTCACTTTGAGCTGCTGTAGTACCTCCTCTGTCTCGGCTACGACGGTGTCAACTGAGAGACGCTCGCGCCATGAAGCTCGACTTGAGATAGGTAGCAGACCATGTGTGGAGCAGGCCTGCTAGAACCATCTCCCCGTGCTTGTGGCCGGCACATCACCACTGAGTTCCACCACGGCAAGATGAGAAAACAGATTTATTAGTTCACTTCCATGGTCCACTTCTATCGAGGTCGTTCCCGGAGATGGTACCCACCGAACTGCAACCAAAGGCAACTTTCCATCCAACGAAGTTGCGTGCGTTTATCCGATCTTCAACGGCAAACTGGCTGGTCGCATTTCGTTGGCCCGTCTAAAATACATTGGCGATCTGTATGCAATACAATAAACGGGGTCGGCGACTTTACCGCGAGGCCATTGGTCGGTGCTAAAAACCAACCAATTTGAAGGGATCGTCATTTTGGCGTTCCCGACATGGCCGACCAGCAGCAGACCCCCAAGCCGAAGAGCGTGCTCCGCGCGTCCGCGAGCACGTTCGTGCCCTCCTTCCTCAAGCCCACGGCCAAGGCCTTTGTGCCTTCGGGTGCGTCCTCGTCCCAGCTCATTGCATTCTTATCCAGAATGTCGTAGGCATGACGCCGGCCGCGCCCGTGTTCACGCCGCCGGCGCCGATCAAGGCGGATGTTCCCGTGACTGTCGCCGCGCCTGCGTCGCCGGTGGCGGCGGCGGTCGAGACCATTGCGCCCTCGACGCCATGCAAGCCCGAGCCTGAGGCCGAGTCGCAACCGGCTGCGTCGCCCATCTCGACGGCCTCGTCGGCCTCGGAGAAGGAAGAGGTCGAGGCGCCCGTGGTTGTCGTGGCCCCGGTCGTCGTTGCTCCGGTCGTTGAGGCTGCGCCGGTCGTTGAGGCTGCGCCGGCCGTCTCGTCGGTCGACCCCGTCTCGCCCGGCCGCAAGCGCCGCATCACGTATACGATCGCCGAGATGATGGCGATGGAGCCCGAGCTGTGCCCCGTGCCGCAGTCGCTCATTGGCTGCATTGTAATTGCGACGCCTGGCGACTCGAAGATTGCGCGCGCCTTGTATCTGCAGACCAAGGACGACAAGCCGCACCACGGCGGCAAGTCGTCGCACCACGACCGCCCGAAGAAGTCGCGCAAGGGCAAGAAGCACCACTCGGCGCCGATTGAAGAGGACCTCTCGAACGTCAAGCCGCTCTCGATCAACGAAGAGACGCGCTGGAAGCCCAAGGTGGCGCGTGGCGTCGTCGACGCCGTCACGACCGAAGAACACTTGCAGGGCGTCCAGTCGATTCTCAACAAGCTGTCGGTTGAAAAGTTTGAGCGCCTCTCGGACCAGCTCATCACCGTCGCCGTCAACTCGCTCGATGTGCTCAAGGGCGCCATCGATATGGTGGTCAAGAAGGCGCAGATGGAGTGGCATTTCTCGGCCATGTACGCCGAGCTCTGCACCAAGATGGCCCGCACCGATATGCCGCTTGTCGTGTCGGAAGACGAAGCCGACGGCGAGCGCAACACGGCCAAGCTCTTTCGCACGCTGCTGTTGACGCGCTGCCAGAAGGGTATGTCATGCTGACGCACCACTTTGCACTTGCTCATGTCGCATATCACCTTTTGTAGAATTCGAGGTCACGCCGCTCACGAGTCTGAACGAGTCGGACACGGACGCGCTCAGCGTGGCGGCGCTCGCGGAGAAGGCGCTGATCCTGAAGCGCGCGACGCTCGGCCACATTCGGTTCATTGGCGAGCTCTACAAGCAGGGCATGCTCAGCAGCCGCATCATGCACGAGTGCATCCAGCGCCTCTTTGGCAACCTCGAGTCGCCCGATGAGGAGAACCTCGAGTGCATGTGCAAGCTCATGTCGACGATTGGTGCGCGCCTCGAAGAGCGTGCCCAAGCGGTCCCGGTCGAGAAGACGCTCATGGAGCAGTACTTCGACTTGATTGCCAAGCTTGCGGGCGCCAAGGACAAGCTCTGCACGCGTGTTCGCTTTATGCTCCAGGACCTCCTCGACCTCCGCGCCGCCAAGTACGTGTCGCGCATCAAGGAAGTCAAGGCGACGACAATTGCCGAAGTGCACGCGCAGGTCGCCCGCGAAGAGCGCGTCAAGGCTGCCGGTGCGCCCAAGCCCCGTGCGCTCCAGAAGAGCCAGTCGATGGCCGCGCCGCCCATGTCGGCGCCGCGTCGCAGCAGCTCGTCGGTGGTCGCGGCGGCGCCGAGCGACCCGGATGGGTGGGAGACGATTCCGAGCAAGCCCAAGATGACCAAATCCATCAGCGTCCCGGACAACAAGCGCTTTGGCAACAAGAATGGCCCGCCGCCGTCGGGCCGCAACGACCGGAACGACCGCAGCGACCGTCCGGACCGTAGCGATCGTGGTGCTCGCTCGCGTGACAGCCGCCGTGGTCGGTCGAGCGCCCTCCGCGCAACCCTGCGTCGTCGTCCAAGGGCGGTTTCCACCGCTCGTCGTCGCTTGCGTCGTTGCCGTCGGCGTCGACGCCCGTCGTCGCGGCGGCCCGCGCCGGCGCCGGTCGTCGCCGGTCGTTCGGAGGACGACCTCAAGAAGAAGGCGATTTCGATGCTGAAGGAGTTTGCGCACGAGAATGACATTGCCGAAGTCGTGGCGAGCCTCCCGGACGCACTCGCGCACACGGAAGCCATTGCAACGGCGGTTCTCAACCACGGCCTCGAGCACAGCCAGGTCGAGCGCACGGCGGTCGGTCCGTTCGTCGCCGGTCTCTTCGCCGCCGGTCTCGTCGACCCGGTCGCGGTCGTCCGGTCGCTCACGGACATTTTGGAGTTTTGGAAGACTTGGAGATTGACATTCCGCTCGCGGCCAAGTACCTCGCCGAGATGATGGCGCCGCTTGTGGTGGCGGGTGTCGTCGAGCTCACGGGTCTTGACGCGCCGATGGCGCCGCTCAGCGCGGAGAAGCAGACCAAGCTCAAGGCACTTTTGGCCGCCGCGATCTCGGGCTCAACGCCGAGTCCTCAAGGACGACGTGGCGGCGTTTGTCGCGGCGCATGCGTCGGCGTAAGTTGGTTTGCGTCTCTGTACCACTAGTAGATGATGATAGAACGCTTGATTTATGATGGAGTATATAATACACATACTGATTGGACAAACTTGACGAAGCAGTGGACTATCGTTATTGGACCGACGCGCTGCCAGCCTTCTTCACGGGCACTGTATGGCTCCATTCGGGCCGCTGCGATGACAAGAACTGCAGAAACGTCTTACATGAGCATGTAGGGCGAGCCATGGCAGTTTGACCACCATGGGTCATTGACACATGAGGATGCCGCCGAGGAGCAGCATCAAGAGAAGGTGCCATTGCGAACGCTTGATCATGGGTCATCGCCTGCGAACTACATGTTAGTAATTGACATCAGAACTGTTTCCTCAGAGGGCGCGATCGTTGTCGTGGTCTCGATGGTGGCTGTATCAGATGGAGATGGTGCGCCGAGTGCGGTGGCGATCCAGTGGAGCCCTTCGTAAAGGCCCGCACCCGTGACAGCGCAGCACGGCTGGACAAACCACCGCTGGCGAATCGAGCGACAGCTTTTACGTTGTTGTCGTAGTGCCGTACGCCTGTCGAGAGGCGGACCAATGTCCCACAATGTGAAGTTGAAGCCCTCGAGCTGGACTTGCTCGACGTTGAAGCCAATGGTTGGGATCGTTGTGATGCTCTCGCCGAGCCGCAGCTGATAGAGGATTGTGGATTTACCCGCCGTGTCAAGGCCCACCATGATCACGCGCGTCTCATGGTTTGACGCAAAGAGGCGCGAGACCGCCGAGGAGATGGAGCCCATCGAAAATGACGACGGACCTCTAAATTTGGATGCGGCGACCAAATGCTATCCACAGCGCGCCACGTCATGTGATCAGAACCAATCAAATCCCGCCAAGTGGAACAGCGATGACACACGATCGTGTTCGAGGGCCACAACACCAACACGGTCCATTAGGACGAGCAATGTGCTTTCGATAGCCCACATCCCATTGTAAAGTGAAATACGAAAGATGGGCTTGTTGATTTGTTATAAAGTGGCTAGTTGTACAGTTGTAGAAAACATACAGTAAGAGATTGGTGGGCGTCATTGCATCATGGCTTGCGAAGTGCCTTGACGAGCCAGTGGAGGCCTTCATGAAGCCCGTCGCCTGAAGTCGCACAGCACGCCTGTACAAACCACGGGCGACGCATCGAGCGCAAGCCCAGAGCCTCTGTAATGTTGGCTGCGCTCACCGCTTGCGGCAGGTCTTGCTTGTTGGCGTAGACGAGAACGACTGCGTTTTCGAGCTCGTCCGAGGACAAGAGTGTGTGAAGCTCGTGACGCGCCTCGTCCATGCGGTCCACGTCGTTGGCGTCGACGACAAAGATGATGGCGCTCGTGTTCTGGTAGTAGTGGCGCCACAGCGACCGGATCCGGTCTTGGCCGCCAATGTCCCAAACCGTGCAGTGGAAGCCGTGAACATCCAGCGTCTCGACGTTGAAGCCGATCGTGGGAATCGTCGTGACGACGTCGCCGAGCTTGAGCTTGTAGAGGATCGTCGTCTTGCCCGCCGCGTCGAGGCCAAGCATGAGCAGACGCGTGTCGCGAGTAGAGACCAATTGAAAGCGCATCAAGAACGACTGGAGAAGACCCATTGTGTTTCTACTGAATGCGCCCGCGACTGCAAATTGGAATGTAATGGTGTCCATGGGCGGCCCACTGTCAACTGTCAACGATACTTTGTTGTCGTGGCGCCACGTCATCACGTATGGGCCAATCAAACGTCAGCACGTCAATGGGCATCTTCAAACCAAACACGATCCATATCTCCCATAGCAAACCCTAACGTTTATACGCACTGGCATGGACAAAGAGAGCCAAACCAAACCGAGAGTGGAAATGACAACCCAAATTTCCTGCGTCAATCGCACGCCCAATGCGACAAGATGTTGCGTAGTAGATCTACCGCCCCATGATACTCATTTTCGTTCGTCCATGTGTACTCCAGTGCTGTCTGTTGTAGAGCATGATGTTTCGGTACTGACGCAATTCAGGGCGTCATTTCGCTCGCTGTAAATGTGATTATGCAGATTGTCCCATTTAGAGATCTAGATTTTACCTCAGCCTCGCCTGGCGACGTTCGATACCACAGATATTCGTCATCTCGGGATCTACGCTCGGATAAGCTCCGCAAGCAGCATGCGAGGCCGGCCAACTCTATGTCCTAAAGGGGAACAAGTCCCATCGTTGCAATAGTCCGTGCGGCTTTATGACCAAACACGGAAAGCGCTACTTCACCAACGGCTCATCAAATGCTGTCTTTTCTCAGCAAGCGGTCCCGTGGCGGTAGATATATGTTTCTCTCTATCGTTGGAAGAGGTCCCATCTTTCAGAATATCCCGTCACTGAACACTATTGTTGACGCCTTGTTTGATAAATAGGGAGAACAAACTCCATTGCCGTATGGCTCGTCTCGTCGGTTGACGAGATGAAGGGAAAAATCGCCAGCTCCAACGGTGTCTCATCCAGTGCCATTTCTTATCAGCAAACGGTCCCGTGGCGGTAATAATATTGTTCTCTTTATCGTTGCAATAGGACCCGAGGGTTTGAAAAACCCAATCCATGGTACACTGTTGTCGTTGGATACGTCGAAAAAAAGTGCTCGATCACCACCTCGCCACCTTGTGGATCGCCTTTACCACGCCATCAATCACGTCACTGCCCCAAAAGTATTAGCAAGGGTGTGGTAAGGCAACCGCATCGTACCAGCTCCTCGGAAGCACATCTTCATGGCAACGTTGATGCACTATTTGTTGTTGGATGTAGCCTGGCCACTTTTGAGCCGTGCCACACACCACATTTCCACGGTTGGTATGTCTGGACTATGGACGAAATGACGGTCAATGGTAGCCAAAATATAAATAAATAGCATGCTACTGTGTACACAGTGTCGTGGTCAGCCAGCGCAGACCGTCGTGGAGGCCCTCGCCCGTCGTTGCGCAGCACGCTTGGACAAACCACCGCTGATGAGCCGAGTGCAATTGGAGTGCTTCGGTCAACTCGGGAACGCTCATGGCCTCTGGGAGATCTTGTTTGTTGGCATAGACGAGAATGACCGCGTCTTGGAGCTCGTCGGCGACGGCCATCTCGTGCAGTTGGCGGCGCGCAAATTCGATGCGCGCACGATCGTTGGCATCGACGACAAACAGGATCGCGTCGGCGCCTTCGTAGTAGTGGTGGACGATCGCCGAGGCGCGATAACTGCTGCCAAGATCCCACACGGTGCAATCAAGGTTCTCGAACTGGAACTTCTCGACGTTCATGCCGCTGGTCGAGATCGTTGAGACGCACTCGCCGAGCCGAAGCTGGTAGAGGATCGTCGTTTTGCCGACGGCGTCGAGACCCAGCATAACCATTTTGGTCTCCTGGCGCGACGCAAAGCGCCGCAAGAGATACGAGCAACCGAGACCCATTTGAAATGTGCGAGCGGTCTCTGAAGTTGGATAGAACATTGCCCAGAGGCCCACATCGTGCCACGTCACGGCCGTGTAGCCAATCAAAATCTTGCAACAGTTGGAACAACGCGCTTGATGTTCGTTCGTTGAACAACGCGAAACTGAAACACCAGAAAGGACTCACAGGTCCCTATCGGGTCGTTCTTGCCGATTCGTTTGCCATCGGTTTGCGCTCCATTTCCGATTTGTTGACGGCTAAATCTTTTTCTTATCCCGTTGCAGATCATTTCCCACTCTTTTGCTATTCATTTATTCGTGTGATACAACGACTTGTCATGCGAAGAGACTAGCAATCTCTTCTCCTTCATTCACTCGCCGGGCAGTGCCTGCGCAGGCGACGGCGCGGGGGCTCGTCTAGCTCTTCTGAGTCACCCGGGGCACCTGCGACCGCAAGAGAGGTCCAAGACGACAACACACCTCTGTCAAGTCCCTTCCAGGCGTCGCGATCGAGAGAAATGCTTCTGGCTAAAGGCAAACAAAAGACTAGCAGTCAATCAAAAGGCAAACTCAAGGCTAGGTCAAGGCGAACAAAAGGAAAAACATCGGTTTACAGTCAAGCTCATGGAAAGTATCCGCGCATATTGCGATTCAAACTTGCGAGCGCCACCGGTGCACTGAAGGCGGATGGCTCGACACTCACCAGCTCCCCGCGCAGCGTCCTTCTCGCTTGTCCCGACGGCCATCGCGGTGGCTGCTATGGGCGGCGCAGCGAGCGCAGCGCGTCGATGATCGTGTCGGTGCTCATGGCCCACGGACGGACGGTCGTGCTTGGTGGCAAAGATGAGCAGAATGGCGTCTTGCAGCTCATTTGTGGCCAAGAGCATGTTCAGCTCATAGCGCGTTTCCTTGATCGTAGCGCTGGCGTCAGCGGTAAACACGAGTACACTGGCCTTTTGCAAGGTCGACAAATAGAGCTGCCGAAGGGACTCTTGGCCTGCCGTATCCCACGACATGCAGTGAAAACCTTTGGTATCTCGGCGTTGAAGCCAACAGTTGTATCCGTGTCGTTACAACATCGCCGAGCTTGAGGTTGTAGAGGATCGTTGTCTTGGCCGCCGCGTCGAGGCCCAGCAGGAGCAGGCGCGTCTTGTGACCAAGCAACCAGTACAGACACATGTAGAGCGACCAGAGACAGCACATTGCGATCGGTTTGAAAGGCGCGCCTGGTGGCGGATGGCGTTGTGATGCTAAAATGTATCTTTCTGTCCTCGGCACAGTTGTTGCCTGGTTGTTGGTGGCGAAATGTGGAAAGGTGTGCACCTCATGCATTCCATTAACACGACGTCTTACGCAGCGCTGTGGCGAGCCAGCGCAGACCGTCGTAAAGTCCGTCGCCTGTTGTCGCACAGCACGCTTGGACAAACCACCGCTGACGCACCGCGAGCAATTGAAGCGCCTCGGTCACATCCGCAATGCTCATGGCCTGCGGAAGATCTTGTTTGTTGGCGTAGACAAGAAGAACCACGTCTCGAAGGTCGTCGGACGCTAAAATGCTGTGCAGATGGTCACGTGCCGAGCCCATGCGCGCATTGTCGGTGGTATCAACGACAAAGAGGATTGCGTCAGCGCCTTCGCAGTAGTGGCGCACGATCGACGAGAGGCGGTAGTTGCCACCAACGTCCCACAACGTGCAGTCGAGGCCTTGGAACTGGAACCGCTCGACGTTGAAGCCAATTGTCGATATGGTCGTGATCGGTTCGATATTGTCTGTCGGTTGAAGCGTGCGCTGAAGCTGGTAGAGGAGTGTGGTTTTGCCAACGGCGTCGAGGCCCAGCATGACCAACCGAGTCTTTTTGTTTGGCGCAAAGAGCTGCCACAACCGCGAGTAGACGAGACCCATCGAAAAGGCAAGTGCGCTCCCCCTCCAATCTGTACGATGCGCCACGTCGTGCCACGTCATGGGGAGGTGGCCAATCAAACGCAAGCACGCGTTCGATCTGCATCGTCCGACACGATCCTCTTGATTTTTTCAGCAGGCGTGCCACTCCAAGTACTAGTGTAGCACTTTGGCCACGGTGTTACTTCCTCAAGCAAGACAATAATATCCGAGGCCCATCGAGCCACCAAGGCTTTGTAGATTCGGTACAATATACAATGAGCAAGGCTCATGGACGGGGCTTGCATGCGATACTGTAGCTTATAAAGCAACCGCGAATGCCATGCGTCGTAGCGATGCACGAGCCTCTTCTTGGCGCCAACGCCGCAGTACCGATAGATTCAACGTTGTCCATCGTACAACACTTGGTATATTTTGTTACGCGTCGGTTTCAAATGCTCCGTTATCGCATAAGGTCCAACCAGTGCGATACCAGCTACCAATGGACCAAAGCAATAGACAAGGCCATAGAAAAGTCATTAGTCCGTCGATAAACCGGTGAAAATGGACGGGATCTCAAGTCCCTTGTCCTCGCCATTATTCTCTCAAGCTCATGGCCACGATATGTCTGTCATTAGTCACGCGACTCGCCAACCCGTCTCGCTGCCCCCGTGCACAGCATCGCGCAAGTCTATTGAATGTCGTCTCGGCAGCATACACACTCGTAGAGTAGCAACCAGTGGATTATTCATCTTATCCGAGCGCCTTCTTAAAAGGCGAGCGGGCGCACCGTCATAAAGTGGCGCACCTGTTCGTCGGTGATGGCCGCGCGCTTGGCCTGGAAGTCGGCGTTCGATGCAACGACAATCTCGATGAGCTTGTCCTTGACCTGGCCCGACATCATGCGGCCCTCGCCGTACTCTTTCGCGATCGCCGCGAGCTCGGCGTCGTCCTCGAGCAGGAACGTCAAGTACTGGTACGGGATGTCGACGTCCAAGTTGGCGCCGTATTTTTCGTGGTCGGCCTTGGTCTCGCCACCGCCGCTGAAGGCGTACTTGCGGATCTTGTCGGCCACGTCCGCGGCCGAGTCGGACACGAAAATGGTCGGCGACGGGCCGCTCGAGCTCATCTTGGTGGTCGCGCCTTCGAGCGCGGGGAAGAATTTTGAGAGGATCAGCGCCGGCTTGGCATACCCAATGCGGGGTGCGACGTCGCGCGTCATGCGGAAGTACGGGTCCTGGTCGATCGCGCACGGGATCAAGCAGCGCAGGTCCGTGCGGCCGCTGAACGGCACGGGAAAGCATTGCGGAAACGACGGCGCGGCCTGGATCGCGGGGAACGACGACTTGCCAATGTTGTCCGAGCCCGTGAAGCCAAAGATACCGCGCACTTGGTTGTACGTGACGCACTTTTGAATCTTGAGCACTTCGGGGTAGAGCGTGCCAATGTAGTCCGAGTTCTTGAAGATGAACGTCTTGGTCGGGTCAAAGCCGCACGCGATAATGTCCTTGGCGTTCTCGTTGGCCATAAAGTCCGACTCGGCCAACGTCTGCTCCTTGAAGAGGTACTTCTCGTCGTCCGTGAGCTGGATCACGAGCGGCACGTCAAACACCTTTTGGAGCCACGCCGTGAACGTGAACGGGATCAAGTGGCCCATGTGCAGCGACCCGGACGACGGCCCGCGCCCCGTGTAGAGGTAAAACTTGTTGCCTTTCTCGTAGTGGTCGAGAATTTCGTGGAGCTCGCGGTGCGAGAAGAAGTACCCGCGGCGCAGATACCGGTGCGCACGCACGCCCGTGAGCTTCTCAATGCGCGCGACGAGGTCCTGCGTCAGCTGCGACGTGCCAAACGTGTCGATGAGCTTGTCGTAGTCGACGCCGCCCTCGGCTTCGACGTCCCACGGCGTCACCTTTTGCGCGTTCGCGTCACCGTTGATCGCCGTATAGTGCGCATACTTGGCCTGGCGCAGGAGCAAGTCCGTGTCGACCGGCGCGGCGCTCGCCTCGGTCGGACGGCCCGTCACCGACGGCTTGGACGGCTTGGCGGCCTTGGGCTTGGACTCCTTGGGCTGCGCCGCCTTCTCCGCAAGCTTCTTCTCCTTCTTGAGCTGGCTCTTGGACTTGCCACCCTCGGCGTTCTCGGCCTTGGGCGCTTCAGCCTTGGGCGCCTTGGGTGCGGCCGGCGGCTGGTAGTCGTTGCCGGTCAAGTCCTTGAACTGCTTCTTGAGCGTGACGAGGTCGGCCACCTGGCCCTTGAAGTCTTCCTTCTTCGCCTTGAGGTCACGCACCTCGTTGCCCTTGGCGACGATCGCAGCGACAATCGAGTCGGCGTCCATGCTGCTTCCTGTCCACAATCTGAAAATGACCAGCCAGATGACACCAGCCGGCGACCATATTTTATTGTATCGTTTTTACGATTGGCTACAAATACCCATATAAACTGCTTTTTGAGCGCATTAAACTACGTTGCCCAAGTGCATTTTGGGTGGTCGATGCGCCATTGCCACAAGAACGGCGAAGGCGCCGCAGAGGACACCGCTGCATCCCATCACTCGCACCAGCAGCCAAGCGTATGCGATGTCCAGCGATGTACCATGGATACGATCGACGGTCCAGGCAGGCCACTCCTGCACAACACAGCGTTTAGCCCGGCGTCGCATCCGTGGCAGGACCTCGCCCAGCGTATTGGTGATCCTATGACCACCAGCATCGCCTTGATGGCATTCGTTTGGCCTGCGCAGTGGGCTAAACGCATGTTGATGGCCGTCGAGTGCGCGCGATGGCACAGGAAGAAGGTCCATGTCCGCAAGCGCCCGAAGGCGATCCCGGCGCGCATGGCCAGAGCCGTCAACAGGCCCATCGACAGATGCATGCAGCCATGTGCTTCCGCAAGGATGGCCATGCGGCTGCCGCAGGCGTCATGCTGCAGCGCGACGAGTCGGCGATGGTTGACAGTTTCATTTTGGAGGTTACGGGCCCAGGCGGGAATCCGGATAGCATACAAACAGCCAGTCCAAAATCAAGGAAGGAATGGGAGGCCAGCCGCAGTATCCGGTTGAATCCGTTGTGAGCAGCGGAGCACAAAAGCTTGCAGCCGCCGAAGGACGGAATCGATCACGCGACGAGCCTGCGCCGACCCCTGCACCGCCCGAGCATCCCACGGACGCGCGCTTGACCTCATCGACCTCACCATCTGCGCCTCATTCGAACCGCGCCTATAGTTATGGTGGCCACGCTGCAATGCAAGCCCCACACGGCCGACCCGACGTTGGGTCGACAGGACAACAACAGCAACAACGCCAAGGACGGAACTCGCCGGCGTGGCATCGACGGCAGTGCGCGCGACGTGGCGCAGAAGCTATCGAGCCCGATGGCGCCGAGCCCGCGCTTGGTGTACCGGTACGAGCCAGACGCGGTCGCCGACCCTGCATCATGTCGTCGCTGCGTAGACGCAAGCTCGCCAACGAGACATGTAATACCAAGACAAAGCACGAGCGTGGAGGCTCTCAGCAACCGTGCCATGCTCCATCAAGTCCATTGGCCGAGCCAAGCCCACCGCCCGGCGCTGTCTCTTTGTCCATGCAACAACGTCCACGCCCGTACAGCGCACGGCAGCCACACAGCATACCTGATGGATTCATGCGTAGCTCGCCCGTCGATACATCAACGACCCACCGCGATAAGAAGGGACCACCGAAAAGCTCGCGCAAGTCGAGCGCCAAGCCGCCGGCCGACGAGCTGTCGACAAACGAATCGAAGAAGGATATTCCGCACACCGTCCAGCCCACTCGTGCGCCACAACCCGAGAAAGTACGGTCACCGTGCGCGTCGCGGAAGAAGAAGCCGACCGGCCATGCCCGGGGCGACAACAATACGCCAATAACACCTCCACGGGCGTCTCGCGATCGCACAGGCAGCTCGTTTGCGTCCGTGGAGCCAGAGCCCCCGTACTCTGCCCACTCGACCATCATGTGCGTGCGAGACGTAGCGCTCGATCTATCTCAATGCACGACCGCCTAGGTGGGCCTCGGACGAGATTGAAGCGTTTGTCGCTACCGTCGACGACGAAATGGCAGCGATGGGCCAAGCCTACTGCAAGGCGCTGCAGTACTTGAATCGGTTGGTTGTCACGCGCTGGGCCCACGCGTTCATTGATGTGTACGGGTCCATTTGCACGCAGCTCGCGCTTCCAGGCAGCGACCTCGACTGCGTCATCGTCGTGCCCGAAGCCAAGCACGGCCTGTCGCCGATTGCGATGCTCCGTGAGGTCCACGCGATCGTGGTCGACCAGGCATGCGTTGCTGACGTCGAGCTCGTCGAAGCCGCGAGCATCCCTGTGCTCAAGTTCGTCTACCGGCTCGGCGACGTCGCGGTGCCCATGGACATTAGCGTCGCGCATTCGGCGGGTCACTCGGGACTGGCGTCGCGGGACCTCGTGAAAAAGTTCTCCGAGTACATGCCCGCGCTTCGGCCACTGGCGCTTGTGCTCAAGGCACACCTCAAGGCCAACGGTACACGCCTCAATCCGAACGGAATCATCCTCATCATCCTGACGGGTATAGGCCTGGGCTGCGCGTTCTCAGGCGGTCTCTCGTCGTACGCGCTCGTCGTGCTCATCATTCGATTCCTCCAAGTACGTCATGGACTGGTTGGTGCTGGCATCATGGTGCTGCTGTCTAATAGTGTTTCGGCGACGTGCACGTGTGCCATACGGAGCCACCCACGCCTGAGCTGGCGCGACAACCCAACACCCTCTACACGTTCTTCCGCCATGGTGCGTGATTTGTCACTGGATTCGATGCAAGAATGGATGGTACTAGATGCGGTCGTCTGGCAAGGCAATATCGGCATGCTTCTGCTCATGTTTCTCGAGCAGCACATGAGCTTTGAGTTTGCCGCGTATGGCGTGAGCATTGCCAACGGCGGCGAGTACTTTGCCCTCGACGACGTGGCCAGCGATGCGAGCTTCGCGGTCCACGCACACATTGTGGACCCGCTCTCGACCCGCCGCGTGCTCGGCAACTCGTTCCGTATCCACGAGGTACGATGGGATCGATCTGGTACGGTCGGTGGATCTAGAGATGGCTAGATTGTGCGTGCGTGGCGCCACTTGCACGGCCAGATTCTGGTGCGCGCGCCGCTTGTAGACGTGTTGTCGTCGTAGCCCCTTTTTTCTTTTTTTCCCTGCATAGCCCTACTACGTCAACTAGACGACGACGACACCAGGATCTACAAACACTACTATCTAAACCCAATTATCTAAATCCAACCAACCTTATCCGAGTGGAAAGGTCTTAAAAGATTATCGCTCTACGTCTCTATATCCAGCGTTTCGCGCTGCTATTTGCTCGTGGGGGTCTGGAGATGCTCAATTTTTCACAGCACCGAATGCGCCGACGTTGAAATCCTAGACAATTCTTTCCACTTTTGTTGTCCAAATATTATGTCTTGCAGTTCTTTGTATCCGGCAATTATCTGGTTATAGACAAAGTACGTATTTTGAGAGGTAGATTCCATTTTGGTGCGACCATGACCGACGGCCAGCACCCGACGACGACGCAAGTGACCAAGGTAGAGCGCGTCGTCATCGAGGCCATCGAAAGCAAGCATGGGCGCTAGGACATCAATGGCATTGCCACGACGCTGATCGTGTCCGAGTTCAGCGATCGTCTCTTCATCGCGGCGACGCAGCTTGGCACGTTTGGCACCATCGTACGTCGTCCTACGCACTGCCATCGTCAATGCTCGTGCATCATAGCTCGAAGCCACGAGCACAGAGTCCTTCAACGGCAATGCGAGCGCCAACATTGTCATTCGCCTCGGGAAGCGCGACGACCCGCTTCTGCTCGTGTACGCCCGCCAGTTCCTCGAGCACTTCGGGTACGAGCTCCATCTTTGTCCATGCGCGTGCTCACGCAGCAGCAACGTAGCATGCCCCGCGGGAAGTCCATCGTCGCTGCCGTCGGCCTCAAGGACAGAACCGCACCGACGTTCGAGGCGATCATGACGACGATCAAGGCCGAGCTCTTGCACTAACACGAAACCAAACAAAGGCCTGAACTAGTATGTGTTTTCGTATGGCTACCGACTACCACTGGTGCAAGCGATCGAGGATGAAGGGCGTAAAGTACGTGATGAGGATGCTCGCGCCGGCGCGGACGAGGCTGAGGTGGGCCTCGCGCACGACCGCGTCCATCGAGTTGGTACCGTTGCCATAGTCGGAGAGCATCTTGTACTCGCCCGAGACGACGTAGCATGCGACGGGCACGAGCTGCTTGGCTGAAAGCTCCTTGACAATGTCGCCGTAGAACAAGCTCGGCTTGACGATGACCGTGTCGGCGCCTTCGGCCACGTCGCGGTCGTAGGCAAGCAGCGCGTGCGACGTCGAGCCGACCGGGTGCTGGTACCGGTTGCGGTCGCCCTTGAACGTGCTCTCGACAGCGTCGCGGAACGGCGCGTACATGCACGACGCCTTCTTAGACGTGTACGCCATGATCGACACGTGCGCAAAGCCGTTCGCGTTGAGCGATTGGCGGATCGCGCCGATCCGGTTGTCCATCATGTCGGAGGGGCACAGCATGTGCGCGCCGGCGCGCGCGTACGCGAGGCCAATGTCGGCGAGGCGGGCCACGGACGCGTCGTTGTCAATGACGTCTTCGTCGTCCACGCGGCGAAGCACGCCGCAGTGGCCATGGTCCGTGTACTCGCACATGCACACATCGCACGCAATGAGGAGGTCGGGCAGCGCCTTGCGGATCGCCTGCGTACAAGCGATCACGGGCGTGTCTCAGCGTCGGCCATACGCCCATGACCGCACTTGTCTTCGACAACGCCAAAGAGCATGATGGAGCGGAGGCCCTTGGCCTGCAAGCCCCGCAGATGCGACACCAAGGTCGCAAAGTCGCCGTGCGGGCCAGCGCCCCACTGCACGTTGGGCTCGAGGCCGCGGATCGGGTTGTCGGACGCACGCGACGTGACGAAGAGCGGGTAGATGAGCTGCGACGCATGGATGTGGGGCTCGGTCCACGCGCGGTGGGCAGGGTGGGCAAGGCCAGAGTGCAAGCTCATGTTGCTACTGGTGGCTTCGGCAGGATTCGAAATGGGCCGCTCGTGGTCGCTTTCGGACTTGTCCTTTTTAGGATTGTTGTCCGAAATTAACGTTTTTTATTAAGAAGCAAGCCAATCGAGCGTTTCGAACACGTGTCCCACTCTACGAGGTGGAGGCGCATTTCTCTTCGCATTCGGTGCACCCAATTCCCTACCCCTCGTCGAGGACATCGACATGCTGATGCTGCTGGCATCAACGTGGCGTGGACGAGCAATAAATGAGTCGTCGAGACGGCGCAATTCCGTTTGCCAGCACACTACATGTAGTCTCGTCTTCAAGTCCCCTTTTCACCACGTACAATTGTAGTGTGATGAGTTTGCACGTGATTACCGGTACATAGCTTACTAGATACGAACGTAGTAGGCAGTAGTAGGTAACGTGAGACCGATACACACCCTTTCGGAGACACACGTTGCTGCGTTCGTTGTCTTTTAACAGATTCCCCATGTAGAGGAGGGTACCTCTTCTACCTCATCATGAGGCAACGTATTCGGTACTATATCTCTGTATAGCTACAGCGTGATCGGAGTGAAATCTAGCTCGCTTTGCGCTTGTGATCGATCGTCTGCATGGAGGATCGGTCGAGGAAATTTGATTTAAAAAAAGTTGAAATTAGAAACCGCCGTCATCAGGTGCTGCCCTTGCCCCATAGTGGTATTGGGAGGAGGAACTCAGGTGCGAAACCAGCTGGCACCTGGCATATATAACTCGTGGTATGGACTAGGCTGCAGAGACTGTTGATGGTTCTGGCCCGTCGTCGCTGCAATCATCGTTTCTGAACGAGCCTATTTGCACGCGGCTGGCCAGACGAGGTGCTCGTCTCGGCGCTAAGGACAAGGCCACGCTCAACTTGGTCGTTGTCGACCCACTACTGCATCAACTACTAGAAATGAAAGGAAACGATTTCTGGCGATAGGACTAGGGACGAAGCTTCTGGATTACACTACACGAATCATTAGTAGAAATTAATAATATCTTGACGAGGGGTATAATAATAAAATAGACACACTCTGGTGGCCATGCATGGCGGACCCTACTAAAGAACTAAAGATTTAAAAAAATATATCGAAGGCTCGCTAAGCTGGTCGGGACTATAGTCCTCCGCCGACCACCTGTTGCACCCTCCAGTGTATTAATATTATTATAGTTTTCCACACCATCGTCTCTAGTCGTATGTAAAGGACTACGGAATCGCATCGTATTATAATAAACGACCCGCACCCGTGGACTTCAACAATAATATTGTTGAGGTAGTAATATATATATATATTAAACGACCTCCGCCGGTGCGCTCGATTTTCTACTCGATGGATCCGCCCGAGAAGCACCTCCTCCCTTCGCGTCGTCCTCGGCCCGTCATCGTCACTGTGTCCATACCCTCTCTCGTTGCCATCAGCGTCCGTACGCTGCAGCCCGACAATTTAAAATATAAAAAATCAGTTTCGAAACGCAGCACAATAATGTTACAACGGCGGTCGGAATTATAATATTCTGGCCCGTGTTTGCCCTAGTCGTTGCTGACTACGGAATCCGCGCCGCCATGAGCTTGACGCTGGCGACCCGACCGAGCTCGCCGCCGCCGGCGCGCCATGGCAACCACAGGACCGCGCACATCTGGGAACACTTTGTGAAGCGCGCCGACCTCGGCAAGTACCACAACAACTGGCGCGTCGAGTGCAAGCACTGCCAGGCGGCGCACGAGGCCGGCCAGAGCGCCGCGCCCGACGTGCTCATCTCGACCAAGCCCAAGATGATTGCGCACCTCAAGGGCTGTTCGTTCGCGCCGCGCGCGGAGCTCGCGTACCTCGACCTGCTCGAAGCCGAGCCGCGCATCCTCGTGCGCAGAGACAAGCCGACACACGTGACGAGCGACATGCACAGCAAGGACGCCTCGTCGACGCTCGATCCCGATGCGCACCTCTCCAAGAAGGCGCGCGGCGACAAGATCAAGATTGCGCGGCCGCACGTGAAGCGCACGCACACGTACCAGAACCCTGCGACCGCCCACGTCTGGGAACACTTTCTCAAGCGGCACGACCTCGAAAAATACTACAACAACTGGCGCGTCGAGTGTAAGCACTGCCGGGCCGCGTACGACCAGCGTGGCGACGACAGCCAAGTGCCCGAGCCCAAGATTATCATCTCGGCCATGCTCAAGATGAAGGCGCATCTGAAAAAGTGCCCGTACATTCCACCCGGCGTCGTCCTCGCCATGGACCTGCAGCCATCGCCGCCCAAGTCGACGGCCGGCCTCGCGGCCATCCGCGCGCTCGTGCCACGGCGCAACGACAAGTGCATCGTGGCCGTCCGGTCCGACGTGGAGCAAGAGCCGTTCTGGATCGCGTGCTTGGTCGACGAGGTCGACACGGCGGCGACGCCGACCGATCGCGTCGTCAACGTCACGTGGCTCTCCAAGACGAGCCGCGGGTTCTACATTTACGCCAACGACGACACGGTCCCTTTTGGATCGATTCTCTGCGAAGTCTCGCTGGACGAGATCCACCCGGACGAATTTGCCATCCCGCGCATTTTTCTCGACAAGGTAGAATTTGGAGGCCTCAAAAGTTTGTATTTCCACCTTTTTACATGGGATGCCCTAGATTCGAGATGCCTTGGCGCGCAACACGACGATTCCATTTGTCTACAAGCGCAAGCAGCGGGACGCAGCCGCCACGAGGCCTGGCCACCCGCTCCCGTCGCTCAAGCGTCAAAAGGTCGAGCCGCAGACGTCGTTTTTGACGCTGCCGACGCGACCCGTCGACGTAAGCAACCACCACCGGCGCACGGCCAACTACCACATCTGGGAACACTTTACGAAGCGCACCGACATGGACAAGTACCACTCGTACTGGTACGTCGAGTGCAACCACTGTCGGTATGCCTACGCCCACCGCGGCGCGACGGGGTACCCCGCCACGACGCCCGAGCCGACTCCGTTCCGGTCGACCGTCGCGTACATGCAGACGCACCTCGACAAGTGCGTGTTTGCGCGGGCGGCCATGGCGGCCGCGTGGCCAAGCAACACTCTGAATCCCAACAACAGCAACAACAACAACATCAGCAACAACAATAGCAACAGCAACGTGCCGTGGCAAGGTGCACCGATGCCGGCGAGCATGCATCCGCCGTCGTCGTCGATGCGGAGCGTCGCACCGCCGGGGGGGCACTACCCCCTGTACCACCCGGGCCCCCCGAGTATGGCGTTTGCAGCACCCCACGGACCACCGGCATCGTTTCCAAATGGCCTGCGGCTTGTGGACGAGGACGCGCAGAGCGTCACGAGCAGCGCAGCGGTATGCCCGTTGATCCGCATCCTCCTCTTCGATGACATTGAAAATATGGGTAGTTTGAGGCCGAGCTCACGTCCCGAGAAGACGCGCTCGAGTCGCCCGAGTTTGCGAGTCCGATGTGGCGCCACTTTGTCAAGCGAAGCGACGTTCCCAAGAGTTACTACTTTTGGAAAGTCGAGTGCAAGCACTGCCGGTACGCCTACGACGTGCAGCGGGCGACGCGCGACGAGCCCGTCCTTCTCAACTCGGACCCGGTCCTCATGCGCCATCACATTGAACACTGCCGGTGGATCACGGCGCCTGGCGAGATCATCGACCGCGTGCTCGCAGCGTCCACCGAGGTGCCGACGACGACGACGACGACGACGGAGTACGACGACGACGCCCGGGTCGTCTTCCCGGCCATGACGGTCGTGGCCGTGCGCAGCGATCAGAGTCCGCGGGAATTCTGGCTCGCGCAGCTCGGGTTTGACGTGACGGCCGCGATGCTGCGGTCACTCGACCCCGCGACGGTCGACGTGACGTGGCTCGACAAGTCGCACTCGAGCGGCATGTACAGCTTTGGCGCCGACGAGCCGATTCCAGTGACCTCGATTTTATGCGACTTGGAGCTCGAAGAGGTCGCGCCCGGCGCCTTCCTCGTGCCCCCGCTGCACGTCGACCGGGTACGTTTCTCTCCGTACGTTCAACGAGGCGCTCATCGCGATGGCGTAGATCCAACACTATTTGCTCGTCTAAGATGTGCTCTAACTCGCTGTAAACAATGATGTCTCTTATCGTTCGCTTAAGCGACTGGCGCGAGCGTCGTCGTCATACTCGTCGTCGAGCGCGTGCGACAGCGAGAGGAACGAGGCGTCGACGGTCGCGTAGCTGTTGCTGCTGCCGTCCGGCGTCTGCCAGCCGTGCACGGACGCGATCGAGACGTCCGAGATCGACTGCTCGTCCATGGCATAGCTCCCAGGGCCCATGTGGTCTTTGGGCGACGGGCGGCTCGAGCGCAGGATCATGGTCGTGCAGTCGTCGTCCGTGAGAATTGAATGCGGCAACCCAGTGTCGTTTTGGTACAAGTGGAACCACGAGGCAGGCGCCGTCGGCGACCCGACGACGACGACGACGACGTCGGGCCGGGGCTTCCGGCACGGCCGCCGGTCGCAGCGAGACCCGACAACCGCGACGACGGCGAGGATCGTGACGGCGACGACGGCAACGGCGACCAGCACCACGGGCGACGACGACAGCGGCGCGTCGGTCGCAGCCAGCTGGCGCAGGATAGAAGACGTTGTTGGCATGATACCCACGATGGTACCGTCGGTGGCGGCGGCAAGCGTGATGGCGCTATCTGGCCTCTGCGCGCAAGCCACACTGCGAGCCGGTCGAGGCCACGACGCTGGGTTGGTTGGATCGCAGCCATTGGTGCATGCGTCGACGTGGCACAGAGGTGGCACGGTCGATGGCACGAGCAGTGTCCAGCCGGCGCTGGTCGGCGCCAGCGCGACGCCATGCGGGCAGGTCGCCCGACGCACCCATCCATCCTCGCCGGCGCCAAAGCAGACCAAGCGTACCATGCCACCGCCTTTCTAAAAATTCGCCCCAAAATTCGAAGCCGTCCACCAACATCAACCGCCTTCTTCCGTGTAAATTACTTCAAGACGCAGGAAGCTACTGACTGCACTGTACACTCAGAGGCGATCGAGCGCGTCGTGGTCGTCCGCGTCGGCGTCGTGCGTCGCGTCAAAGAACGCGTCGTGGACGTCTGGGTGGGCGTCGTAGGCGACAACGGCCGCGCGGGGACTGCTCGGCACCATGAGCTCGTTCGTCTCGTCGTCGTTCTCGTCGTCATCCATCACACCGAGCGACGCCCATTCGCTCGATGCGGGCTTGGCCGGGCGCACCACCGCGTAGACGACCGCGCCAAGAAACAGCAGCGCGAGGCCAACGCCGACGACCGAGTCGACCATCGGGGCGTCGTCGGCATCGTCGTCGGTATCGACAAGCACGTCGGCGCCGACTTCGGCGATCATCGCCGCCTCCCAGGACGACGACGTTGCGTCGAGCACCGAGCCATTTCCACTTGCGTTGGCATGCTGCGCCGCGCCATACTCTACATATGTAGTGCCATCGTATGAGACTGCGATCCTTTCTGTACGAGGAGATGGGCCCACCGCACGTGGCCGGTACAAAGCCGACGCGGTGGTGGTCCGGATCAAAAACAAAGTCGTGGTTGGTCAAGAGGTCGGCGCCAATCACTAGGACGCGCCGTGAGCAGAACCTAGACAGAGTACGTCGTACTACCGCCCATGGGCGCCTCGTCGTGCAGCGCAATGGACGCGGTGAACCGACCGGTCTCGCCTTGGCAGAGGTACCGCGCCGGCGGGATCGTGAGCACCACGTCTTCGCCCTCCATGCCTACATATGCCCGACGTGAGCTTGCACAGGAATTTGACGCCAACGCACCTTCAAAGACGTACTCGATGGTCGGCATCTTGGAGAGCTGGCCGCGTGCATACCCGCCCGTAGTGTCGTCGCCACCGTCGAGGCTTTTATACGCTTTCAAGCCTGCATTCTTGAACGACCGGTCAAACTCGTCGCGAAGTGCCGACGGCAGCGACGACGTCGGTGACCCGCTGTCAAGGAGGACGCTCTGGTGCACGCGTGGCGACAAGTCGAGCGGCTTGCCACCGATGCGAATGGCTCGGATCGTCAGCTCGTACCACCTACCCATCGATCACGATGCCATCGACAGCACAACGTCGACGTACCCGTTGGTGTTAGGAGCCATGCGGGCAAACTGAAGCACACCGAGGCGTCGGCGGTCGTCGTCGGCGGTGGTCACCGGTGTCCCGATCGCCAACGTGCCGCCGGTCGCTGTCAAGCAGAGCGAGAACACATTTTGGTCAATCTTCTTGTCGGCGTAGAGCTGCCGCACAAGGCTTGTTGCTACTCATAGAGTCCCGCCATGGCGCCAGCGCACGATAGACTTGGCGCGAGTACCAGAGTCGGCCACGCCCAAGACGCCGGTGGTGGCGGGAAAGGATCCTGCGTTCGCATGAGCACGACGCGTGCACGATCGCGTGCGTACCTGTGACCTCCGTCTGGCAGCCAAACGAGAAGCGCGTGCTGTACGGAGACGACGCATTGCCATCGCCGAGTGCCACGACATCGTTGACAACGACGCCGGTCCACGACCCGCCTGTAGAGTAAGCCTACGCGCGGCGTCGCCAATCGCGTCGCACAACATGGTGTATGGCACCTGGGAGATGTGGCACGTGGCGTCCGCGTCGCAAGAAGCGCACTGGAATGTGCTCGCAGCGCTCGTGCAGTTGGGGTAGGTGAGCGTTGTGGACGACGTCACCTCAAAGGACGCGCCGCTACAGCAAGCATGAGCTAGCGCAGTCCACCGACTTGTACCCGGCGCAGGGCACGGCGAGGACATGGCTGCCCGTGTCGACGACGACGGGCGTGCGCTGCGGCGGCGACCCGAGGTAGGCGTACGTGTAGTGGGTGCTATGCTCAGACGATGACGATACCAGCATTGTAACTCGGACTGCTGTACCCAGCGTCATGGCGAAGCGGCACGACTTGGAACGACCCGTCGGCGAGTTGGCGTAGGCTCCTTCGTGCGCCAAGAAGCGGCGCATCGCGGTGCAGCGGCAGGACGTGGTAGGCGGTCGCTGGCAGCGCCAGCGCCAGCGCAACGACGTGCGACTTGACCATCGTTTGCTCGAATCACGCGGCCTGTTTTTTATCCACGGTACACGACCAGACTAATGGCACGCCACCTTAGCCGAAGCACTTCTCTCCCGGTCTCCAAGCTGCAAGACGGGCCAGCATCCTCAATCAAAGCAAGGTCTCGTACGACGATAGCAAGCTCACCAAGAACCCATTCCTGCTCTAGTTCTCGCTCCTCCCTTGTTGAATGGATTTTCCACCATCGAATTAACGATCAGTCTTGCAAGGTACGCAAACCCGCATGGATAGCAAGCCAGATCCATTGCACGCGAGCCTCGTCAGCAACCTATGCACAAAGCAATTCGTCTCACGGCTTGGTAGTGTAAATCACTGGCTAGATTCTCCAAGTAGCCGTCCTGAACGCCGAGATGGAACCCGACGTCTTTCGGAACGACAATCGTTGCGTTGCTTTAGCCACCGTACAGCACGTACAACCGTGCGTACTGTACGGAATCGAATGTACGGCTGCTCGTACATTACAGTTACGGTTTGCAATCTTCCCAGTGTGCCACGAGGCCAAGCAGGTCGGGGCCCAGCGGGTGCAGGGACGCGTCGACGTCGACTTCACGGGCTGCTTGAACGGCGGCATCCACCTTGACGAAGCGCTCGGCGGCGGCCTCGCGCTCGTCGCCCTCGGCTGCGAGCGCCAGCAAGTAGCTCGCTTCGCGCTCAAGGTACACGTCGTCACGGCGGGTGGCAATCGTCAAGGCTTGTCCGAGCCATGCGATAGCCGTCGGTGCGTTCGATACCATGTGCGTCTTTGCGAGTGCGAGTGCATATTGGCCCTGGAGGTGCAGCCCGCCGTGCTCTTGCACCTGGGGTACGGCGGCCTCGAGGAGCGACGCCGCGTCGGCCCACCGATCCATGTGCAGGTAGAGTGCGGCCAAGACGAGATGTGCGTGGGCGCGGACCGAGTCGAGTGCGCGCTCGTCGCATAGCTGCAAGCAGTGCAGCAAAGGCGGCAGCGCTTCGAAGGGCGCGTCTGGGGCACCAAGCACATAGGCCTACAGCAGCTGCGTCAACCAGCCGTGCTAGCCAGAGAGCTGCTATACGTGCGCAAGAAGCAGCAGTGCTTTGGCGTGCAAAGGCGGGTGCTCTTTCGCGGTCGGCAGCAGCGCTTGGAGAACGTTGGCGGCGTCCAAGTACCTCTCCTGCTGGTACAGAAAGAGTCGTACTAGCATCACGGTTAAAGGTTCACTCCACACATCCATTGACGTACCTTGCAGCAGCGTCGCTTCAACGCGCGCAGACGTTTTAGCACCCGCGAGACCCATAAGGAGCTGCTGGCAGTGCGTTGCCCGGCGCCACTGCCCGCGCGCAAAGCTCCACTCAAACAAGACATGCAGCACGGCTTCAATATACGCCGGCTCGTGCTGCACGTGCCACTTTGCACTGGCCGTCGCGAGCCACCGCAAGGACGACGCGTAGAGACTACAGAGCCAGCGCGCTATGACCACCATCGTCGTGTAGGGTACGGGTACCTCGAGGACGACGGCGATGCTGATGTCGGGTCCATTTGAAGAAGCGCGATGCGCCGCATCTACTCGACGACTTGAGAAATGGAGGTCGACGACTTCGTGCATACCGCAAGCGCGATGTCGGCGCTCGAGCTGGCATAGCATAGACCGTAGAGCTGCGTGTGCAAGTGGGTCAGTGTCCGGTGTCCGAGATCATGCCAGACGCCGGCCGTCGTGAGTGCAATGGCGCCCCGGAGCGCCGCCCACCGACCCACGATGTCGTCCTTCTCGGCCGTGGTCCACGTTGTCGGCTTGAGTGGTATCGGTGTTTCGGTCTTTTGGTGGAGCCCCGGCAGCGCTGCTGCCTTTGGGGCGCGGGTGGTGGCGGCAGCTTCAAGCTCACACGCGATTTGCTGCAGTCGGAGCCACACGGCAATCGGTCGGGGCGCCGGGGTGGTAAACGACTCGCGCACGTCAGCGTGCACGGACGAGAGGAGTCCCGCGAGGATCGCAAGCGCGGTGAGCCCGAGGTCGCCCGCGCGGTCGACGCACTGCCGACTCTGCGCATGCGACGCGGGGAATAGCTGCATGTACCACGCGAGGGCGTACGCGACGCAGACGCCGTCGCGCTTATGCTGCGCGACGCGAAGGGTTTCGTGGAGCGCAGAGAGCGCTTCGTCGCGGTAGCCAAAGCTGCTGTAGAGCCCGACGAGGTTCAACGTGGCGTACTGCGGGCCAAAGCCATGTTCGAACGTCCGGAGCGCGTGGTCATGGTACGCATGCAGTGCATGCAGCGCGCCCAGGTATTCGCGGTGCACCTTGAAGTTCAGGTACCGCGCAAAGAGCAGCCGTGGGCACGACGGATGGCGTTGTAGCTGCGTTGAGAGACATGCCTCGACGCGCTCGAGCGGCTGGTCGGCGCGACCGGCGTCGAGGCTCTCGAGCAGGTCGTCGACGTCGAGTGGCAAGTCGCATGTCGATTGGGATCGCGATGTCACGTAGGCGCGCAGCTCGAGCTGGAACCGACACATGCGGTCAAAGAACGCGGTCGACGAGGCTAGCGCAAGCATGCGGAGGAAGCGCCCGAGCGGCGACGACGGGTCGAGGCCCGACGATGTCGGCTGCAAATGGTCGCGGAGAAAGTCATCGACGTCGTCAATAGAAGACTGCGATAGGTGCGTCATCGTGGACTCGAGCGCCAACGCCCATTCGGTATCGATGGCGGCGACGGCAGCGACGAGCGCGTCGAACGGCAATGGCAGCGCGATGGCGGTGACCCGCTCGAGCAAGAGCGCTGCGAGCTCGTGCTGGCGACTGTCGAAGGCCGCGCTCGAAGAGACGAAGAGCGCCGACTCGTGCGCATGGAACTCGGCGGCGAAGCGTGCGATGAGGTACCCGACGCAGACGTTCGGGGCACTGAGCTCCGCAAGCTGTGGATCGCCCATGACACTATTTCCAGCGACTTCAACTCGACATTAAAACGTGTCCACGAATTTACCTAGGTTTTATCGATTCAGTAGTTTAACCTTTAACGTCGCAGGTCATACCAGTATTTGCTGCTGGACCAGAGGATACTCGAGAGTAGTACACATCGGCTCCTTACATAGCGGCTCTTATACTTTGGCACCGTTTCGGCACAACAAAGCTGGCTCCGAGCATGAGCTTGCGGGCTTGCATCGACCGGATCAGGTTGCTTAAAACCGACTGGTTCTTGTTTACCCTATTTTGCCCATATCGGGCAAAATAGTGTCGATTCCGGTTCGGTGCTTGGCGATGATGACGGTAGCGCGGCTCGTCCTCGGTCTCGTGCTGCTTCCATGGGCCGCCTGCCTCCGCGAAGACCGCGTCGTGCGCATGGACCTCAAGCGCGACCTGCCTCTCCGGCGGCGCCTTGACGCGGCCAACGCGACGACGACGGCGCCGTTTCTGAAGAACCAAGTCCCGCTGGGCGTGGGCGCCGGGTACTTCAGCGCCTTGGCCGACTGCTTCTGCATGCTACGACCTCTGTAGCACACACTACGCCGAGCTGTACATGGGTCTACCGCCGCAGAAGGCCTCGGTGATTGTCGACACGGGCAGCCACTTGACCGCGCTGCCCTGCGCCTCGTAGGACGACGCTTGCAGTCCAATGGCCTCTGCCACCCGTGCGACTTGTGTAGATGCCCCAACTGCGGTACGCACACCGACCCGCCGTACGACATTGCCAAGTCGTCCACCGCACGCTTCATGCAGTGCGACGAATTCGACGGCTGCTCGTCCTGCGAGCAAGACCACTGCCGCATCTCGCAGGTCTGTCGATTCCTCAAAGTTGATCCGTCATGCGGTGCTAGAGCTACGCCGAAGGCAGTATGTGGTCAGCGCTTTTGGTCAACGAGCTCTGCTGGGTCGGGCCGCTCGACGCGACTGGCGGCAGCAATGCAACCACAACCATGGCGGCCTCGGGCGTGCGGTTTCCGATCGGATGCCAGACCAAGGAGACAGGTACTGCGTCGCATGTAAAGACGACCTCTCTATGTGCAATGCTGCTAGGGCTCTTCATTGGGCAGAAAGAGAATGGGATCATGGGGCTCTCCCAGGACAACAACACGTTCATGGCCTACCTCGTCTCGGCCAACCGCGTTGACCGTAACCTCTTCTCGCTCTGCTTTGCAGAGAACGGCGGGCAAATGGTCCTCGGCGGCGCCGACGAAAGCGTCCACCTCGCAGCACCCGTGTTCACGCCGCTCCTCACCACCAGGTACACCCCTAGTCGACCCCGTGCAGTCTGAAACATGCGTAGCGGCTGGTTCACGGTCGAGCTTCTCGACATTAGCGTCGGCAACAAGTCGCTTGGCATTGTGCCCGCGACGTACAACCAGTACGCGTCTGGCGCCTCTCCAAGTTCGATGGATCATCATCACGCGCTGTAGTGGCCGCGGTGTCATTGTCGACAGCGGTACGACCGACTCGTTCTTCCCGAGCAGCGCCGCGGCCGCGTTCAACGCTGCGTTCAACGAGCTCTCGGGCGGACGCGACTTTCTGGACAACACCGAGGACATTTATACGGACGACGAGCTCGGGCAGCTGCCTCCGATCGTCCTCACGCTCCGCGGGCCAACCCGGTCGTCCATGATCACGCTCCGCATTCCAGCGTCGCAGTACTACACCAAGGTGAGCGAGGACGGGCACTACACGTCAAGCTTTCATTTCTCCGAGCCGTCGGGCAGCGGTGGTACGCTCTCTCTTGATCGCCACGAAGACTATCTGAACGACATATCTGCATTGTAGTCCTTGGCGCGAGCACGATGCTCAACTACAATGTCATCTTTGACATGGAAGCCCGGCGCGTCGGGTTTGCCCCCGCGCGCTGCGATGCCAACAGCCGTGCGCTCTGTACGTGGCAGCATTGAGATTCAGTTTGAGATGCGGATGTACCGAATAGTGTTTGGGCCGAGTGTCGCAACCGGACCGCTGGTGCTGCCTCCGATCAAGTCGCTTTGGTACCAGTACGAGACGCTCTTGACGGTGCTGGTCGCGTGCTCGTTCATGGGGCTCGTGCTCCTCTGCTTTACGTTTCTCCTTCGCCGCAAGTGTGGCGCCAAGACGCGCTGGGTGCGCCTCTCGACCAACGACCACTCGCCGTCGCCGCGCGCGATTGCCCTTAACGCAACGGATGTGAGTCCAGAACTGGTACGCGATGCAGACATTGGATCTGGATGCGAGCACTTATTGTCTAGTTTGAGTCGGGGGATGGAAGCCCCATGACGCCCCCGACGCCACCGTCGCCCCAGCGCCGCCTCTCGCGGTCGCCGGATCTGCATTCGATTCCAGAAAGCGACTCGGAGTAGTTGTCAGAGCTATAGTAGAACGCGTACATTTTGTCTGCTGTGCACTGTCGATATGACATATCTTCTGCGCGGCGACGACACTCAAAGCACCCAACACTTTGTCGGGGCTCCTACAGCGACCGTGGCAGGAGGCGTGGTAGCGAACTAGAGTCATTTAATGCCAAGGGAATCAAGCGCGTTTGATGCGATCACAGGACGACGCCACGTGCCCGATCCAGGTCATTGTGACGTTTGATTCGCTAAAAATGGGGCTATTTTAGCCAATCCAGCTCAGAGTGACTTGGGTCGTGCGGCCGCGCACGGAGGAGGCAAGCGTTGCGCTCAAGAAATGAAATCGCTCATACTTGGCAGGTGCAAAGAAGGCATGTTGGAGAGCCCAACGCGCCGCGTCGCATCGCCGTTGGACCCCTACAGCCTCAGAAATCCGATTTGCTGTCGCTTTCGCTCGACCAATCACATCACGTCACGGAACGATCCCACGAGGCTACAACCAACACGCTCGACCTTATTTTATGTGTTTGTTGTTGTATAATACTTCCTCACACGTACATTACGGCCAAGTCGTTCATCTCCATGCTTATTGCCAGTAGCAGGTTGTCTGGAGTTGTCGACACGTCAGCGTGGCCGAGGTGAGCCACCAGCCATCAACTCCTCGGCGGAGATAACCTTTTAACGGAGTGTTTTTGCTCGATTTCCAGCGGTGTCAGTGTCAGCTGGAGTCGAGCCTCGTTGGGTTGTGGCTGGTGTATATGATACCAGCTCGCTAAGCAACGTGTGTGCTCGCAACGTGGCGCGGTGGTCGTGGTCATTATGGGTCGTGGTGGCTGCCGATGCAGCAGCAACCACGCCGACTACGCTTACATCGCTACGTTGCCAGGGCTTCGGGACATTGCGCTCTCTATTGCTCGCATCGTGTCCTCGAGCTCTCCACCATCATAAAAGAAGACTGGGTTCTATTCACTCTCAATTTCGTATATGTTGCAGCGTTTACTCGATGTTGTACTCCTTGGCGAGCGCGTCGTAGTAGTTGATGACGTCGCGGACGTACTTGCGCTTCTCCGTGTAGTCGCCAGGCATGAACGAGCGCTTGAAGCCCGTGACAATGACGCGGCGGAGCTCGGCCGGCGTGAGGTCGAGCGCATCGACCGCGAGGCGCACCTCGCGGAACATATCGGTGTGCGAGACCGTGCAGTTGTCCGTGCACAGCGTCACCGCGAGCTTGCTGTTGAGCATCTGCGTCGCAGGGTGGCGGGCGCAGTCGTTCTCGATCGCAGGCACGGTCTGGAGGTTGGAGCTCAAGCACACTTCGACGCACGTGCGCATGTTGCCCATGTACGTGACGAGGCCATCGCAGTACGCTTTCTTGGCTTCGTCCGACATGTCCTTCCGGATCTCTTCGGGGTGGAAGAGGTGGTACCCGTGGCCGATGCGCTCTGCGTGGAGGTCCATAATGGCCTGGAAGATGGACTCGGGGCCGAAGCCTTCGCCGGCGTGGACGGTCTTGTGCATGAACTTCTTGTGAGCGTAAGCAAACGCTTCAATGTGGTCCGAGGCCGGGAACCCGTTCTCGGCCCCCGCAATGTCCAAGGCGACGATCGGCAAGTTGTGCTCGACCTTGGCTGCGTACGCCTGCGTGATGAGCGCCATGGACGCGAGGCCGTAGAGACGGTGCGGCTCTTCGTGCTTGTGCACAAAGCAAAAGTGCTCGTAGTACGGGCCAAAGACGGGGAGGAAGAAGCGCATGGCGCAGACAATGATGCCAAAGCCGTAGCGCGGCGTCTTGCCAGAGACCACGTCCTCGTGCGCGTTGGCCTCGTCCGTCGCGCGCTGGAGACCGTTGTTGACGTGGATGAGCACCTGCTCGATCGACATGGTGTTGGCATCCGCGAGGAGCTGCGGCGCAAAGCGGGCCTCGAAATACCGGACGCCGACGGCGTACTGGTCAACGCCGAGCTCGTACGAGACGCGCTCGAGAGCGTCCGGGTTGCGGATGACCGCGCACGTGTAGGCGAAGCAGCGGAGGTACTCTTCGAGGTTGTTGTACGTCTCCTTGAAGATGCACGTGCTCATTTGCTGGAGGTCGTACGTCGGGAGCTCGACGCCTTGTTCTTGCGCGAGCTCAATGAGCGTCGCAGGGCGAATGCAGCCGTCCAAGTGGCAGTGGAGGTCCGTCTTGGGGATCTTCTGCAAGAACTCGTCGGGGTAGCGGGCGTTCTTGGGGAAGACGCGCTTCGGAGGAGGAGGAGTCGAGGTCATTGGAATCGAGCTGCTGCTGCTGCGGGCGGGCAAAAGGAAACTGACCGAATAGAAGTTGCCACGGATCGGCCCCGTTTTGTGACACGTTGAAGCGCCATCTGGTGAATGGCCCAGAAGAGCCAACTTCAACCCAGGTGGCGCGCACCTCGTATGCTGTATGGTATATCCATTTCAAGTGATCGCGATCTTGGAGCGTTTCACGTAATGAAAAAAAGGCAAACTCGTGGCGCAGCTCGCGGGCCGCCACCCGAGACAGGTTCAAGGTTACCTGCATCGGGCCGCCGGCGCATGGATCTGGCGCGTGAATCCACTCTCTCGCGCGTGCGAGTGGGCCGCGCCTCTGCGACGGTTGGGTCACTTTGCGCCAACGTTGAAGCACGCGTGCGTGGGCTCACCGCCACACACCAGCACACCCTGTCGCTCCCGATTGTCCGACCTGGCGCCACCTGGCGTGGCGTCGTCGATGAGGGTGCTTGCTCTTGGTGCGGTGCTTTTGAATGGACGCGCGAGGCGCTCGGCTTCGTAGCTTCTACTTATGCGAGATTGCATCCGACTGCGCTCTACTAGTACGCCGCATGGCCGACGGCCCAACGCTTGGCGGGTACTATAGAGATGCAGCCTCGGCCGTCGTCGCATCGAGATCGAGTAGGACGTAGTACTACGAGAGAGCGATGGGTGCACAACTACTTTTTGGCCGGCGTCGCTTTGCGCGGGTACGCGCTGTCGCGGGCTGGCGTCTCGTTCATGGGCAGCCCTTCGTACGCGTTGTAGCCGTGCAGACAGCCCTTCGCCTTGGCATGCACAATGGCGTCGTTCATGATCTTGGCGAGCGAGCACGCGGCCCAGACCTCGTGGCGCTTTACGCGCCGCTTCCCCTCGTCGCTGTACGTACGGTTGACGTCGGTCCACTGACTCGGTGGCGGCAGCGAGAGGAGCATCGCGTTGCAGTCCATCACGTCGTGCGGCAGCGAATACTTGTAAAAATGATAGCCCTTGTCTTGGTCCTCGAGCAAACCAAAGCGCTGGCAGTAGTGCATCGCGGTTGGCGCCGTTGGAGGGAGCACGACGTCGCCGTCGTCGCACGGGTTGGCCATGTTCGCGGGCGCAAAGTCCCACGCTTCCAAGGGCTCGCCACCGGGCCAGTTGCCGCCCAAGTGGTTGACGATCGTGTGCTTGATGCCATGGTTGCCAGCCGCGAGCGAGTACGCGTACATCTCGACCATCCACTGGTCCGGAAATTTCTGGCGCGCACGGACCACAAAGTCGCAGTAGTCGTTGACGAAGCGCTCGCCGTCCGACTTGGTCATTATGTACGGCGGGCCCGCGCGGCCATAGAACTCGAGCCCGTCGGCTTCGCTCACGTCGGCGCATGGCAGCCCTGCACAGAGCTCGTCCCGCGTGCTATGGAGCGCGTCGCGGAACCAGGCTGCGCCCATGTAGTTGCCCCAGTCGTGTGCGATCGCGACACCATCTCGCACTGTATCGTACACCGGACCCGGACGCTGGCCCACGTAGTGTGCCGAGAGGTCGGCGCCCGTGTTGACATGCAGCGGCGCGAGCAAGACAAAGTCGGCGTCGAAGAGCGCGAAGGGCAAGTCGCCGCGTAGGCTCGCTGGCGGCCGCGCGTGCTGCAAATAGTGGCGCAAACCAAAGGGCTTGTTGTACGGCGTGTAGTCGTCCGTGACGTTGGGCACCGGATGCGGGCTAAACGACGGCGCAAAGTGCCGATGGTAGTCGTAATACAACACCGGCTCGTGCTTGATCGATGTCTCTTGCGCAAGCGAACAGCCCGAGATGATCTCTGTGATCGGGCCGCGGTGGTGCACGCGCGTCGCCGAGTGCTGGAACGTGCTCGAGAGAAGCCGGCGATGGCCTTGGTCGCAGCTCGTGCTGAAGAGGATGTGCACACTGCCGCTGCGGGGCGCTACACGCAGGTACGCGGCCGGCGCATGGATCACGATCGATGACTCGTACGTGAGCGCGAGAAAGGTCGACGCGAGCACGAAGCACGCGGTGGCCGCGGCCCAGAGCGGCGGCCGGCGCGCCGCGATCGCCATGGTTTTGCTCTGACACACGTGCCAGGTCGCCGTATCCGGAGGTATTAACCGGAAATAGAACTCATACCGGCCCATACAAAGTGACCGCTTGGCGACCTTCTGTCACGAACCATCGTCTATCCCGCGGATGGCCATGGCTAGAAAGGACGCGCCAAAAAGCGCAGCAGAAGCAAGCTGCACCGAGCAGGAGACTCGCGCTATGAGGTCTTGCAACCAAGAAAATAGTTGATTTCTCCCTTCGTCGCAACAATCGAGCTGAGCACGTCCTCGAAGCAGCCCCATACCGGTACTACTAGTACAGTACAGGTAGGGTTCGAGGCTACGAGGTTCGCCTCGACTATGGACGTGGTCATACTCACCTTGGTACGACAGCATTATTGAGCAGTACGTAGAGTGACATTGAAGAAGCCACAGTCTCTTGCTTGCATTCCAACAACGATAGTAGCTTGGTACCATAACTTTCGTGTACTGGCGTGTTAATATATATGAACGTGTTCCGCGGTATCTTCATTACAAAGACTTCGCATACGTAGTGCTACGCCTGAATGCGTGGGAGTTGGCACCAGCGCTTGGTCGTTGGGAGTGAGCTGCGCACGGAGAGATCCATCCCAGGGTGACCCGACTCGCCGAGGGATAGCTCGCTCGAAGTCAGTCGTACGCAGGCTCCTGCACTGGCATATTGTTGTAGTTAGTGCCCCCGACCTCTACATTACACGTGCTTGCAGCTCTGCATGCAGTTCGAGTTGAAGCTCAACGACACCGACTCTACGCGTAGGTCTATGTTCTTTGTTTCTGGTAAGCACCTGCCTTCGACCACCATTGGTGCGCAGACGAAGCAGGTCTCAACACATATAGTTGCATAAATACTGGATCCACGAAGAGGCTGTTCTCTATAACAATGAACGCTCGTGCCACACCTAAACGGATGGCTGCGGGTATGCGGACCCGTCACCCGTCGCGTTGGTAAGGACGAGGCCGCGAAAAGTATTGAAGCCTCGTCGACACGTGCGGGTCTTGATTTGAAGCAGCGCGTAGTTGATCCACTTGAGCAAACTGCAGGCGACCCACGTCTCGTGGCGGGCGACGCGGTCCTGCGTTGGCTTGGTCGTTGGCAGCGCGAAGAGCATGCTGTTGCACTCGGTAATGTCTTCGGGCATATCATACTTGTAAAACGCCGGCTGGGGGCCATACACTTGGCAGTAGTGCAGCCCTGTCGGAGGCTCTCTCGGCCATGAAACCTCGATCGGGTCGCTGCACGGATCTGCGTCTGTATCGTTCAGAAAGGCCCAGTGCTCGGACGTCAGCGGTAGGTGCGGGTCGGTAACTCCTAGGTCCTGGCGCCTCTCGTGGTGCACATGAGCGTTGGCGACCGCGACTTCGTAGGCGACCATCTCGAGCATCCAGTCGTTCTTCTCCAGAGCTCGGCCACGCACGACCAGCTCGCAGTAGTCGTCGACGAAGCGCAGACCATCGGAAAGCGTAAAGAGGTAGGGTGGGCCAAGGCCCATAAACGGCGACTGCTGCACACGTTCCTTGCACGCGTGGCTACGACAGAGGCGCTGCCGGAGCGCCGAGCGCGGCGCATCGTCCAAGTAGACGCTCCAGTCTTGCGCAAGGGCGTGGCCGTCGACGACCTTGTGCGCCTTGCTCCATGGACGCAGCAGCATATAGTCGGCGTCGACGAGCGCGATGACAGTCGCCATCGTCGGTGGCAGCTGCTGCAGAAAGGCCCGCAGCGCAAACGGCTTGTTGTACGGGTCGTACTCGTCGGTGATATCGGGCTGGGGGTGGGGCGAGAATGCGCGTGTGAAGATGCGGGTGTAATTGGAGAAGAAGGTCGGCTCGGCCTCGATGTTTGCTTGCTGCGCCAGCGTGCACCCGGCAATGACCTGGCCGACGCGGGCAGCCGACAGCTGCAGCGACGACGAGAGCAAGAAGCGGTGCGGCTGCAAGCAGCTCGTGCTAAAGACCATGTGCACACCGTTGCCGCCGCCGACCCCGCCGCCGACATTGCTCATGACCATCGCTCTGATATTGTGACCAACGTCCTCGGCACGGTACTCGTCCACAACAGCTGGGACCGTTCGACTAGACTAAATACCGACTAACTAAAGCATACCGGACTTTGTCCCAAGAACGCTCTGGGACGAACGTTGTCGCGCCAAGTCTCACGCGCCAGACGAGCGCCAGTGCCATGGGTACTCGGGTACTCGCTATCACAGCGGCCAATATTTGAACGAGTGGACACGAGCTGCGTCGGTCGCATCCTCGAAAAATGTGGTGCCGAACGCTGCCACGTTACCGCGCGCTGCACACGCAAGGCGTTCTGGATGGTGCGAACGGCGACCAATCGACGCGGCAGCCATCCTAGACGATACACTAATCGAACGGCGTCGACTTTAGGACGACAAATTTTGATCCTGCGACTCACGCGCGATTACCACCATCGATGGCCACGTGGCAGCGTGATGGCCCTTCCCCTGGATGCTGTTTTACACGACGTTCAACGAGCGAGAAGGGCTCGTGTGGCTACTCGAACGGAGGTCATTCCGGCGTGATTGGTAGGAGCTGATTTGGTTATTGCAAGGACGAGCCCGCCTCGTTGGTACCTTGCAGTCGCAACAGGAACACAAGAGGGAGGTTGAACCCGTTTCAGTTCCAAGGAGCCCGGTGCTATCCTGGAGCTTTTCGCACCCACGCAGCAGTTGATCCTGGATAATGTTCTTGTTTGCAAAGCCGGTGCAATGTCATCTGAGAGAGCAGGCTGGTGGTCGTGCCACACGGGTGAAATCGTGGGTGGCCATTTTGCGATGGGACAAACCCTTTTGCCTCGTTTAGTCGGTCGTTTAGTCGATCGGGCAACAGCCAATCGCATTGCGCCCGCGGTGAAAATTTCGCGCCTAAAAGGTGCCAGTCTGCAGCTCGCGTAGTCTTTTATTTCGTTTCCTGCCATCTTGATACAATTATCAAGAGAAGATAAAAGAATGCGAATTTAAAATCATCACTTTGAATACAGAAAAACGATGATTCGGTGCCGTGTCGCAGGTCCCAGCTGGCCGAGTGGGTATACAAACACCAAGCTTAATCTTATTACATCGTTTCCGTCATTTCTTCTTTCCAACCAATCAAATCGCACCATGCGGGCATCGGAATTGATACCTGCCACAATACATATCCTGCAGCATATAATATGCAATGCTACATTACCCCGTGGTGGCTTTCACTCTGTAAATGCATACTTGGGCACGCTTTATAACGCCCCGTTCCAACCTCGGTCCCACGGCAGCGGCGCATTCCGCTGTTTCACTTGGTGGTTCAATATTGCTTGCGCCGAGCGAGGATGACGACGAGCTTGATGTACACGTCGGCGACGAAGCAGAGCCGCTTCATCCACCTTGAATGCAACGAGCCGCTCTTCCAGACGTCGTACAAGCGGTGTGTTGAGGCTGCATGCTGCGGTGAAGCTCATGCAAAACCATAGGAACAACAAGAGCTCGGGCCACAAGAACCTGCGTTGCTTCCCGCACTGCTGCAAGACACACAATGCGCATGGCTACTGCGGCAGCACACTGCTCGTCGAGACGGCCAGTACGCAGGCCGACCTCGTTGTCTACGCCAAGTTTGACCTCGAAGCGTCGCAGTCGCTGCTGGTCGGCGATGTGGTGCCGCAAGCGACGTTTGAAGCCCCGCCGTCGCCGCCACTGATAGGCGACACGTGGATTCGCGCCAACCGGATAGCCGACCCGTCCTTTGACGGGTACATTCCCGGCCGCCAGATCTTTGAGATCAACTCGAAGCGCAACTCGTGGCACTATGGCTGGGTCAGCTCCCGCTTCGTCAAGAGCAACGTCCAGCACCAGATGAAGGTCTTTCTGCTCGCACCGCACTCGATTGGCCATCTCGTTGTCGTCGACGTGCTCTCGTCACTGAGCTTCCGCATCGAGTCGACGCGGACCGGCGCCAAGCAGCTGAAAGCACTCAACCCGGACGCGGCCACAAAAAGACCAAGCCAAAGCGATCACTGACCCCCGAGATGGTCCGGCAAAGCCCCAGTGAGGCGCCCAAGTCGTCGCCCATGTATGCAGCACCGCCAATGCCCATGAAGGACGAGGCGTACTTGAACCCGATGCTCCTGCACCGACGACCGCACCACCCGCCAGCGTACGTGGAGCCGCGCTACATGCCCGAGTCGTGGAAGCCCGCACTGGAGCTTCCACCCTCGTATGGCTTCCGGCCCGCACCGTTCCAGATGCTTGCAACCGACAGCCTCTTTAGCGACCGGGATTTCCTGGATACAATCATTAGCGACATGCAACAAGACGACATGACACCTCGCGGCTCGTCCACCGCCGTTCCCCTTGCACGACGGTACTAGAGACACCATACGTCTAGTTAGTACTTTGCCACGACATTGGATTATTCAATCGATGTACACTATCATATCTCCTTTTGGTCTCACGGCTCGAACGCCTCCTTGCATTTCCTAGTCGAAGAGTCAGGCTCCGTCGTCGAGACGGATCGTACCGGAGGCTGCGCGGCGACATGACGTAGCCTTCCGAGTCGAAAAACTCGTCGTCGTCGTCGTCGCTCAAGCTGTTGCGCTTGGGCGCGTCGCCATCAGCCTCGTCGGGCAGCACGCCATGATGCTCCTCTTCCTCGGCCTCTTCCTGCAGCGTCGGGACGCTCGTCCACGTCTGGTCGGCGCGCGATCGCTTGCGGTAGACGAGCCGGTACGCAATACCGAGCACAATGACCGCACACGCGACACCGACAAAGACAACGGTGGCGTTTGAAACGTCGAACTCGAACGGCGCGGACGCCGCGTGCATCGATGCGCCCTTGAGCTGCGGCGCAACGGGCGGCGTGGTGGGCACCGACACGTCCATCGTCGCATTCGCCGAGACGTTGGTGGCCATGCTTGCTAGCACAGGCGACAGCGTTGCATTCTTCGTCGATGGCGCCACGTCAACAAACTTGGATTCGAGGTCCAGCCCGCGGTAGTCTAGCATCATACTCGTCGACTCAAAACGTCAATATCCAATAGTAGACACACCGCAGTTGGCCAGTGCGAAGCCGACGCGCTGAGCGTCCAAGTCAAAGACAAACTCGTGGCCGATCATCATGTTGGCGCCAATGACTAGGGTCGCATGAGATCCTGAATTGCTTTGTGCACAGAGTAAATACCGCCGCCGTTGGCTTCGGTGAAGAAGATGGTGCTGCAGAGCTGGCCTTGGTTGTTGGCGACAATGTACTGCGACGCTGGGATCCGCAAGACGGCCGATGTGCTGCCGTCGGTTCCTAAAACCACGACGCTTTCAATCTATCAAGTTACGCGCAGACAGACCGCGCAGTGTCATTTCAAACGGCGGGAACGACGCGACGTCGGCGGCCGCATACCCTTCGCAGTGGCCGTCGTCCGTCATGTACTTTTGGCCCGTCGCGGCTTCAAATACCGCATTCCACGCCGATGCGTAGTTCGATGGAAAATACGAGTCGGTCGTGCCGCTGTCGACAATTACGCGGTGGCGACCCGAGTTCATCGAGGACACGTCGACGTCCAGAGGCTTGTTGCCGAGCCGAAGCGACTCGACGTGGACTGCGTACCACCTAAGAATGCACATCTATCGATATATGTGCTATGAAGATGAGTGCGACCGACGCACCCGTTGTTGGCCGTCGACACCATGGCGTACTGCAGCGGCTCGCGCTGGTGCGCCGTCTCGACGCTGCCCAAGGCCATCGTGCCCCCTGTTGGCGTAAAGCAGAGCGAGAAGACGTTGGCGGGAATCTTCTTTTCTTGATAGAGCTTTCGCACAATGTTGGTGCTGGCTAAAAACGTGGATATCTGAGCGAGTTGAAGGTGGAGAGGCCGGCGTGTACCCGTGTCCGAGACGCCCAGGATGCCATCGGCCACCTGGTTAACAAAGAGGCCTACCGAGATCGCCGTTGAGGTACGAACGGCGAGGTAGACAGAACGCACCCGTGACCTTCTTCTGGCACCCAAACATGAAGCGCGTGCCAAACGAAGTGTTGAGCGCTTCGTTGTGCGTTGGCGCCGTGTCGCCGAGCCAGACGTGGTCCTCGACGATGACGGCGTCCCAGCTACTGCCTTCCGTGTACGACTAGCCACGGTGGAGGATGCTACGATGCGGTGTGATCAAGAAGGTATATATACCTGCGAGATGTGGCACTGGTTTTCGCGGGAACACGCCGAGCAGCTGAACGGCGGCCGCGCCGTGCACTGCGGGTATCGGAGCGTCGACGACTTGACAATGTCGAAGGGCGTGTCCGTGTGCTGTCCGCAGCCGTGGCACCTAGGCAGACGCGTCGTCGATATATTGCCACCATGGAGTCGTCGTACCCGCTGCAGGGGAAGGCCATGATGTGGCTGCCCGTGTCGACGATGACGGAGGCACGCTGCGGCGGATTGCCAGCGTAAATCCAAGCGTAGTGCGTCCTAGATGAGGCGATGAGTGCACGCATGCCATGGTCGAGCCACTGACCCCATGCCCAGGTTAAGAGGCACGCCTTGGTACGTGCCATCGTCGAGTCGGCGAAGCTGGCGCAGCGAGTCGCGGTCGCGCTTGACTGGCAGCACGTCGTCGTGGCGGTGGAGCTCCATCTTGAGCGCCCACGTCGCGGACGCCAGCGTCGCCAGCAGCAGCATCGTCCTCATCGACTCTACCTTCGACGGTATGACGTGGACTTTGAGCTTCGAAACCATGCTGTCCGGATACGGCCAACCCGCTCGACGGCTAGAATCACCCAACAGGAACAGAGACAGACAATGCCTGTCCAAAGCGCCGACTGAAGAGTGTCGAGCTCCGGAGTCTATCCACTAAAGCCAATACAAATCGGCATGATTGCAACCGAGTCCCTGTGTGCTTCCCAGTGTTCCATCCTGCTTGGCCTAGGGTTATGCATATCAAATATACTCACCGCCATAAATTTTACGTCAATGTATGGCCTTGCTGTCGGATTGCCTTCCCAATCTAGGACATGGCTCCAAAGAGCCAACACAACTGCACATTAGCAACTCGTACTGCGTCGACGAGTCGGTTGGAATACATCGCCAAGCAGGACATGCATGCTTCTCAAGCATCCTGGAACAGCGTGATTTTAGACGCACACATGGTGGGTACACGTGGGCACCTGCCTGCCTCTCGACGGTGGCATCTACGATACCACAATTGCATCCATTCTAACGATCCGGTATCCTCCAACGACGACCGGACGCACATTCCAGAGCCCATGCCTTCGCTGCTAGATGTACCTGGACTAGTGTATCGAAGCTGCGAAGGCCTGTGTCGCTACTAGTACTATAATAATAAGGCCGGGCACGCATCTGGCACGCCTCCCGAGGCATCCACGCTAGCATTGCCACAGGGTCGCATGCATCGCGCTGGACACACTATATTCTGCCCAGTATATGCAATTTATTACGTCCGCTTATCTTCCCGCCAAAACGATCCGACTTCAACTTGGGAAAAGTATCTTTTCGAGTGTTTTTTAAATTTCAAAAACGTCGTTGGGCGTTGGACGCGCGTTTTCCGCCAGGTATGGCTGGAGCATGGTCTCGAGCGCTTGCTTGATCGCGTCGAAGTGCGCTTGGTAGCACGACAGCATAAACTCTGCGAGCGCCACGTAGTGCGGGAGGAGCTGCTTGTCGGTGGACGTGGCCTTGGTCGACTCGAAGAGCGTCGGGTGCCTCGCCTTCTCAGCGCAGGGCACGGCGCCCCGGCTGCAAAATTTCACGCGGGCCGTGTTCTCGTCCATCTTTTCAATCGCGAGCCTGTTTATATCTCAATTTCAACCTGAATCTCAATCTGAATATCAAAACATACCATGTGCTTTCGTGCAAGATATAGGCGTCGGTGTGGTACGGGTACTTCTCGTCTTCGGCGATCGTGCTCGAGCAAATCACAATGCGATTCGACTCGATAAAGCGCTTCTGAACAATCAAGCACTGGACTTCGGTGCCCCGGGTCGTCATGACCAGGCGGCCATACGACGTGTCGGCGTCCCAGTCCTCGAGCATCTAATCCACGAGACGGTACGATGTAGCACTTGTCGATGGAGGCGTCTACCGTGAAATACGTGTCTTTGACTTCGATTGGTACCAGATTGTTGTAGAGCTGCCAGATTGCCTCGGCGCAGCGCTTGTAGCCCACATTGTGCGTCTCGCACATGGTGCAGTCCATGCGTATCGTGCCCACAGTCTCGTCGTACGCAATCGACGTGTTCTGGACCATCTCAGTCGTCTCATGGAGCTTGCGCGTGAGGAAGATGCTCTCGAGCCGCGCGTAGTCGGCTTGCACAATGGCGTTGGCGGTCGCACGCCGCTCGGTCGCGGGTTCAGCGACGAGCCGGTGGATCTTGGTGTCGGCGACGTGCGGCATCTCCATGAGGCGTGGTCGCTTCGTCACAATCTCGAGGAGCGTCTGCGCAATGTCGCGCTGGTGCTCGAGCGCTTGCTTGAGCTTGGCGTTCTCCTGCTCCACGACGTAGCGCTCGGACGCTTGGCGCCGCGACACTGTCTCCCACGGCGACGCCTCCTCGGCCGCGCGGTCCTTCCGCCGCTGCAGCGCCTCGAGCTGGGACGTGTAGTCGACGACCTTGTCGCGCAAGTAGGCGAGCTCGTGCGACTCGCGCTTGCGCGTGCGCTTGGGCTTGGGCTTGGCGGCCGCAGGCGACGGCGAGCTGCTGTCGCTCGAGCCTGTCGTCGCCGGCGCGGGCGTCGTGGTCATGAGCATCATGTTGCGGAGCATCTCGAGCGAGGCGTCGTCGACGTCGTCGTGAAGGAGCCGCTCGAGCTGCGCAGGGTCCATCGTTGCGCTGTCGGAAGAGCAAAGAATGGACTGGCCGATGGGGATGACTAACCGCACCCAACGATAGTGATTGTCGATGGCAGAGTGTGGATCTTCTTTGCACGGTGGACGCCGTCATGGGCCTTGCACGCACAGTCGGCGGCGCTTCGGGCCCGTGCCAGTGCGTACAGTCGCCACGGACGATGAACCCTACCGTTGATTTGCATGGCCACGGCGAACGCGCGCGGCAGAGACAAAAAGTTGCGTGCGTCTAGCGTTGGCCCTTCAACTCTTGGACGCTGGATCTCTGGTGAAGCCTTTATCGTACCACGGGGGGCGACAGCTCGGAAAAAGCTGTCGGCGCCAAGTATTTATGCACCGATGGGCCTTCTTGCACGGAATGACGGCCATCGCAGTGTCCTTAGTGCAATCTCGGAGCGCAACTTTTAACGTCCCACGACCTCGCTCTGACTCTATACATCGATGCTGTGCGCTCGGAGCCTCCATGGCTTATAACGTATTATGCTCTGACGTATACTTGACTTTCCTCGATTTGTAGAACAGTCCGACGATGGGTCGACGACCGTGTCACCTCGTAGAGGATTGCCCTGAGATTTCTCAAATCGGTTCCAGTCAGAAAGTGCAAACTGGCAGCAGTTACTACATAAACTGCCGGTCTCGTGAGGATGCCGTCGTTCAATAGCGCGGTGCGCCCAGCGTCGAGCCCGCTGCCTCTGCGTACTCTTCCGGCCATG